TCTCTGTCGCTTGAATCAAAGCTCCAACTGATCGGAATCAAAGAGCCGATGTCCAGAGGTTTGTGCTGCGGGAGAAGTTTCCATCAATGTTTGCATGGAGCCTGTAATCGAGCACAAGACTGTACACGTGTTCCTCCACTTGTTGTGACACACACACACACACACACACACACACACACTGTGACATGTGAAAAGTTAAATCCTCACTCGTCTTCTTCGCTGAGGTTGTAGGTTTATGTAACAGTGGATGAAGCTCATCCTCCTGCACACTTTAATTGTCGTCTATCCAGTGCAACACACTAATCCCACCAGGGTCAAGAGTTCAGTTTTCCGACTCATGACTCATATGTGACTCCATCCTTTTTCCTTTTTTCTGCCTCGACCACATCTCATTTTTTTTCTGTTGCCCATTTGTCCAAATAAACTAAACTCAAACTCTGAAACCAGCAGATCCAGAGGAGGAAGGGTGTTGACTGCGTCCAAACCATTTCCCCAAACAAACCTCTGCCGTCTTGTGTTTGTGTGTCTGAGCTATTTTGGGTTTGTTTTGACCGTCCTGCATCAGCGTCTGCGGTGAAATATCAGAGAAGACGTCCTCGCTGACTGCTCCTGTGTTTTGTTTTATGTCTTGCAGGACAACATGCCTCAGACTCCACCATTCACGGGGCAGCTAAACACAGGCAGCTACAACAAGAACCTGTACCAGACCAAGGAGGAAGGCTACCCCGGCCTCTACTATCATGACAACAACCTGGTGTCCGGGTCCCTGGAGGCCCTCATCCGCCACCTGGTCCCAACTGTAGATTATTACCCAGATGTGAGTAGTTTGAACATTTCACCTGTTTATATTCCTGGTGGTTTCTTTCCCTTTGCAGTCTCATCAGAGTGTTTATTCTGTCTGAGACTCTCTGGTGCATTGAGACGCTTTAAAGCACCAAAGCTGCTTCTGCTGCTTTTTGCATCCGTGTTCGTTGTGTAGGTGATGATTCCCTGCAGTGACGTTGTAAAGCAGATTTGCTTTTGCAGTAAACTCATAATGTCTTCTCTCTACAGAGGACGTACATCTTCACCTTCCTGCTCAGCTCTCGCCTCTTCATCCACCCGTATGAGCTCATGTCCAGGGTGTGTCACCTGTGTATGGAGCAACAGCGACTCGGCGACCCCCAGGGTGACAAGGTAACAGGATAAGTTCTCCTAGTTCCTTGTTTTACGACGTAGAGTTCGATCTTCCTCGTTTTCATGATGTTTATCTCGCATTTCCAGATGAGAGTCAGGAAGAATGCCCCCAAGATCCTCCAGCTCCTGACCGAGTGGACGGAAACCTTCCCGTACGACTTCAGGGACGAGAGGATGATGCGCAGCCTGAAGGAGCTGACCCACCGACTGGCCAGCGGAGACGAGGTCGGTTCACTCTTTTATTTCTTCATGCTTCCCCACTAATTCAGTTCATAAAGCTGTTGTCACAGGCCGTCCGTGGAGGCCATGTTGTGTAGCCTGCACGTGCTGCAAAGCTACGGACTCAGGCAGATTTTGGCCGATAGCGGCAGAGGGAGGTGGACGGGGCTTCTCTGGCACAAGAGAATGGCTGAGCCGAGAGAAAAGCCCCATTGTTGAAGGGACGGGTCGCTTTTTTTGTGAATCCCTCCGGTGCTCTGTCCTAGGCAGCGTTTGGATTGTTCCACCGCTGCAGAGCTGAACGTCACCGGCTTAGTGTCTTTGCGCTGTTTGGATAACAGATTTTTTTTTTTTTATCAGGGTGGATCTGTTTGTGTCCTGATTCTTGTCACTCTGAAGCGAACGCAGAAAGTGTTTCTATCACAATTACAATTCCTTTAACTCTTCGTTGCTCCTTTAGCGGAACATGTTTTTTGTTTTGTCGTCTCGGCCTCGTGTCTGTCGATGAAGACGTTAAAAGAAAAGTGTAGAAAAAGTCGAGACAAGTCTATTTAGTCGGAGTCTTTATTTTTTAAATCGTGATTTCTTGCTCTAGTCGGGTTCGCGTGGCCTTTGTTCGGTCCGTCATCACGAATCCTGATGTTTTCACGTGCCCCCCCTCCCCCTTCACCTCTCAAGACAAGAAAAACACAACCCCCCCCACTGTTCTGTATGTTGTGCATGACTCATCACAGTGACGAGCACGAGTATTGATCCCGATCTAATCTAGAAATCAATACGTTTCTCACTTGGACGCATTTACACCTCCCAATATCTGCAACAACCCCCCCCCCCCCACACATAAAACACACCCTAACACCTACACCTGCTCTGTTCTGTTCTCTCACAAACATCTGGTGATTTCCACCTTGAAGGAAACAAAAACACCCTTTAACAGATTCTCTGGTACTTTCCGCTGATTGTTGGTGATATCATGCTTCAGTTCATCTAAAGGATTAAAAGCCACAGGTATTAATTATTCTAGTTACTTAACGTCTACACTATGAGGTGACGTGTTTAAAGTGTTGGGCCTTCATCACAGTTAAGAATAAAATTGTATTAAAGTCAGCAGAATCATTCAATCTGGATTTTATTAGTTTGTTTCTCTCATTTGTATCTGATTTGTTTATTTGGAGATGAAAATAAATTCATAAATTCATCATGACCGAGCATCTGAAAGCAACAAGAAACTCTGCGGTTGAAAGTTGAACTCGGGGTCAGACTGTGTAACCACTTTAACTTTTGCTTTCAATTTCAAAATATTTCCCCTTTTTAAAATTCCACTTCTTCTGCTTCTAGTGTCTCAACCGTTACGAGTGACGGGACATCACCACTTCCCCTTTGCCCTCAATCGTCTGTGTAACTGAGGAAGTCATGCTCGACTCTGTATTTGCACATTTTGATCTGTGGCATTTACACAAAAATCTCTTTCAGTGAACAGAGAAACGTTATAAAAACTTCACGTACAGTTTGTTCTGTGTGGACAAAGAAACCTTTGACAGTGACGGGACACCCTCCAGATGTGTGGTGTGCATGTGCGCTCATGATTAGCACAGCGTGACCGAGAAATGCTCTTTCAGATGAATAGTTCTCAGGGACACTTGAGGTTGTGTATTCATACGTGTGAGACCACTTTGTCCCCCACTGTATATTCTTCCAGATTTAAACTGCACAAACACTTTGGTGGGTTTTCTTAGAAGTCTAACGAGACATCAGCACAAGTGATTTGCGTTTGTGTTCTTCACAGATTCTCCCAAATCATGTTACGAAAACTAAACGCATAAAAACCATGAGCGACTCTGGAGTTAAAGAGTTGGGATGCTGGTTCTTCAGAGGTTTGACCGCAGCTCTCTGGGAACGGGTTCCACTCCAAAATAGATGTCCCCTGAACATCTGGTCAAAGACGTGTCCAAAACCACACTCGAAACATTCCAGGACCTTGATCTCTGCAGTAACACTGTCATTATGGATGTGGTTGGATATATAGGGAAGCGGCAGCGGAGAAGAAAACAAGCACTGATCTCGATCTGACCTCATTCAGCGGCGCAGAGTTCTTGTTTTTCTTCAAATTGTGCAGTAAATGCAGATGGTTCACAAAGTATAAGACAGACTTTTGGACAAATACGACCTTCAGTTGATTCCTTCTAGAGATTGCAAATGTACGAACTCTTGACTTTTCTGGGTAACGTGACCTGGATGTGACGTTCTACGGCGGGGAGGTATTTCTGTCCCTTCGTGACTCGGCAGCATGGACACGCTTGCAGATAAATTCGTTCCCACCCAGTGCACCTTTAACTATCTGTTCATTAGTGCTGCTCGGCTGAGCTGCTAAAAACAGTCCGGCCTTCACGTGGGTCAGCTGGTGCTCCACGGGAAATGACACGGCTCAGCCAAGAAAACAGGACCTCCGGTGATTCCATGGCGTGAAGAGACTACGCGCTCGGCTACGGTGACTTGTACTGAGCGGCCGGCTGCCACCTCAGGATCACTGCCAGGTTCTTCAGAGCGGGGAACAGCACGCCCCCCCGCCCCCGCCAAGCCCCGCCGTCCGGACCGCCGATAGTTATGATGAGAAATGTCAGGCACATTCTCGTCTCCAAGATCTGAGACTATATTTGTCCGACCCCGGCCTGTCCTCTGTTTGTAGTTTGGACAGAAGCTGCGGCAGATGGTTGAATCTGAAGTGGCAACTGAAGCGATTTTCACTGGTCACGTGTTCCGCTGTCGTCCAACTGTGCAGGAGCTCGGTCCAGCGTGAGCTGAGGGAGCACGGTGTTTACCACTGATATCAGTATTATATTTCATGAAGGGCTGCAGCTAATGATCAGTTTGAATGTTTTTGTTTTTATTAACACCTAAATACAGAAGAGAAGAGTCTGTCACGAAATCTGCAAGAAGAAGATGAATGCTTGTTTTTATCCGACCCAAAATATAGAGATATTTCATTTACTTATTTCATTTCCAGAAACGTAATCAACAATCTCGATGAATCATTTATTCATCGAGACACAAACAGCAGTACAACATGAGAAAGTGTGTTTTTCTAATCTAATAACTTTGGGTGTTTTTAATTCCTCACATATTTTTGACATTTCACAACATGAAGTGTTTAACTGCAGAAAATAACCGATAATGAAAAATATGATCAGTTACAGGCTTCAGCAGCGTCACCACCTTCCTGAGGAGCAGTGATCATTTGAATATATTATTTTCTCTCTTGTTATCGGTCCGTCTCCACCGGCACTGAAAAATGAAAACCTCATTTCTCTCTGCAACTTCATTTTCTTTGCCTCTGTCCTGTGCTCCTCCAATCATCCCTCACCGAAACTGCAATATCCACTCGGCTGCAATTGATTGGCTGACTTTCCAGTGTGTGTGTCTGTGTGTGTGTGTGTGTGTGTCATCGCACTTGTAACAGCCACATCACCGACAGACAGACGCATTAGTCACGCCCCCGAGAAGTGGATTTCAGTAAAGTTACCGCCCCGGTCGTTTCCAGCCGACTGATGAGAGTCTGCTCATTTTTCCCAGAGAACCTAAGCGCCGCACAGAGAACTCACATTTGATTGCCTCGGCTCGGGGGCCTCCACATCCATTACAGTGCCGGTTGTGTTTCCTTTCACCCCGTTGAGCTGGAGTCTTGTTTGTAGAACCCAGATTCTGGAGGCTGCTCTGGCAGAAAGTCCAGAGAGAAGGGATGTGGTTGCGAGAAAAGGGGCCTCAGCTCCCCAGATTTCTTGGACCGCTCGTAGCAGCGGTACGAAAGAATCCGTGCGCTGGATCCTCCGCGCTCACACAACAACACACGGCCTACAACACGTACACTGAATCTAACACACGTGTCTGCCCTCCTTTCCTCTGCAGACCCACTTATGCAACTTCTGTGCTAAACTGTGTCAGCAAGGGAGCGATTATCTAATCGTGGCCAGTTCTGAGTCAGGGGAATGTTCCAAACTGGACGACCCCTCGACCCCTGAGGCCAGGAAGTCAAGAGTCCGCCCTCCTGGTAACGAGCGCGGCAGGGAGACGCTTGCGTAACAAAGCGAGCGACCCTCCGAGTGCGTGACCAAGAGGCTGCTGTTGTGCAGAATGAACACCGTCGTTCTGCCTCGGAGAGAGCGGGGGTGTTGTAGTTTCCACTGAGGTTGTCATCGCTCGGTGCCACAGAGCAGCGGGTTAGTGAGGCACAGTGGTGAGGAGTCAACCTAAAACACCCGCGGCTCCTCCAACATCGAGGTGTGGTCAGTTTTACTTCACACTCACATTTCTAGTTGTCGTCTCTTTCTCGTGCTCATAGAAACCAAACAAAGCAAAGTGATGGAACTACTGGTTCCACTGATTCTACCTAATTCTGCTTGTTTTTTGAGGAGGATCCTTATCTTTCTGTCATACATGGAATTATTTTAGGGTTATTTGTATTTTTAAAAATTTGTGACGCACTTTGTAAGTTAATTTTGAGAAGTAGTTAATAAATAAATATTATTTTATGGCCTTTGGGCTCAGATACTGATACTTTTACATTCTCATACTATCGGCTCATTTATATTTCATAATAATTCCTAAGATAAAATAAATTGACATAATTTGTGCATTGTTTATTCTGTGAAATGAGAGTTTACACATTTGTGCATATCAGCAAACACACACGCAGCTACAGATCTACAGTGTTGATATGTGAAAGGCTCAAATCAGCTGATACTGTCAGTCAAGTAAAAGTCATAAAGTCTTCGGAGGTTTCTACGGCTCCTCAATGATTCAGGTCGTTTGTCCCGTGAACAAAACTTTGTTCACGCTCTTTTGAACGACGGTGTTCATCAAGGAACCGTGTTGTGTTCCCAAGTGAGATCATTTAAAGCTCCGTCACTTTGAGGTTATAACTAACTCTCTCCTCTTCTCCATCGCTCCCTCAGGTTTACAGGAAGGCGGTCGGTCAGATGAGCCAGGGCCTGATCAGGAGGTTGACGGTGCTCAGCCAGTACGAGGAAGCGCTGGTCAAGATCAACGCCACCGCGGCCGAGCGACTGACGGCTCTAAAAGCGAAGCCGCAGGCGTCCATCCAGAGAGACATGCTGTCCATCTGCAACGACCCGTTCACTGTCGCCCAGCAGCTCACGCACATAGAACTGGTGAGAACCACTTACGTCTTTTAGTCAAGGACGATTCCCATCGATCATCCGTTTAAACCATCGCACCTTATCCATCACTGTTGTGACACGTCAAACCAGGTTAAGATGTAAATGTCGTCTTCCAAAGAACAATGTGAAATCCTGTCAGGGACTCACACTCGTATCGGCTCAGAGAGAAAGAGCCGATCGATCTGCAGAGGAGAACATGTGAGACTGTGATGGATTAGAAACCGCTGCTCGTGCCGCGGACACAACGCGGCATTGATTTTAAACTGTGGCGTTTGACCAGCGCTTTATTCTCATTATGTGTCACTTTGATGAATAGAAATAACAACTCGGTAAAAATAGGGTTCGAGAAAAGTTAGTACAAGATCGAATAGAGAGAGAATCTTACAGTTAAATATCAACGGTGATGGAAACATCATTTTATTGTCGGAGGTAAAAAATCAAAGATTCATTGTATTTATTTTCCTTTTCAGGAGAGACTGAGTTACATCGGACCTGAAGAATTCGTCCAGGCCTTCGTCCAGAAAGACCCTTTAGACAATGATAAGGTAACGTCTGCAGGCTTTACACACACACACACACACACACACACACACACACACACACACACACACACACACAGTGATTATGCAACAATTTCTTTTGGCTGAACTCCTGATTCAGACCTGAATCTTCTGTGTGTGGGTTAGAAATGAGACGGCCTAGTTTCTCCTGCAGACAGATGTTTATACAACACGGGCTGCACGGGTCAGAGC